TGTTGTAGTTGCCTGCCCAGTTTTCTAAGCTAAAGTTGTAGGGAATTAAAAAAATCTTTTGAATAGAAGCTGTGGATGTGCTGCAGCCTACCAATAATAATGGTCAGTACTCTGTGGGGAATAATTAATATAGTTCCATGACTTCCTTTCTAACAGCATTAGGTTGTTTGCATGTACATAGCAGCAAACTAAGGCGTGCAAAAAAAGGTAGAGTTGGTTAAAACTGTGAAGGAGGCCAGTGAGGCTGGCAGCCTGTGGGCTGCTAGTTGCACCTAAGGTTAATGACAGCAGATGCCAAACTGCCTAAACCCAGTGCAAAGTTCTGAGTGTTTAGGATATAGTGTCTCCAGGTTTTATTGGAGAACATGGGCGCCATACTGGGTCATCAAGAGTGAATGCTGGAAGTACTACTAGCCCATACTCCATCAGACCTCCTTGCCACAAATTACAAAAGATAGGAAAGACATTTGTAGTGGCCTTTACAATGGATTGTACCACGTCCTGTGCTCCAGAGACAGAAAGTAGTAGCTGAGTGGTATCTTGTGGCAAACAAGTGTGCGCTGCTCTGTCTCGCTGTGGCCTCTTCATAATAGGTGGGCATTCAGCAATGGGTGCTATGGTGAAATAGGTGCACAGAGGTGCTGAAGTGGGGCAGGTCCCTGGAGCCTCAGCAGTGCTCAAGCTGTGACCGAGCCTGTGACTCACAGATGTGGCCATCCCGAGTGCGGTGGGCTGAATTCTGCTCTGAGGCCGTGCAGGGGCCAAGCCTTACAGAGTGGGGAGCACCAGGTGGATGTGCCCAGTCACAAGACACTGGTCTCACGATCCAGCACTACTGGATCTCTCAGTTCTCATCAGGGCTCTGAGCTGGGAAGCAAGCAATGAAAGCAGAGAAAACCTAGTATGTCTGTTCCCAGAAACTCCACGCTGATGGCACAGCCCCAGTAATGAACTCAGCCTGTTGGTTGCCTGGAGTGAGCCGAGGGCACAAAGCTCTTTTTTCTCTCTTAGCTCTTAAGCATTTAAAACCTCAGGAATTCTTGACTCCCAAACTCATTCCACCATGCTATTGAAGCACCCAGGGTAGCTGATTATTTTCCTTTACCAAGAGATTAATAGATCCTAGAATCTGGATAGGAAGGTGGAGGGAGTGGTGGTGGGCTACAGGAAAGACTCATTACTGACAACTGTTTCTCATTTTAGGGCAGTTTCCTAGCAGCTTTGTGGAACCTGTGGATATTCCCCCTCTGAAGCAGGGAGAGAAGCTGTTTGTTTGTACCAGTGACTTCACATCTCAAGAGCCAGGGAGCTTGTCATTGCAGAGAGGTAATCTCCATTCCCTTCCCTTGCTTTGCATCTCATAGCCCTCACTTGTTCTTCCAGAAGCATGAACCCAGTCACAGCATCCTGCCTAGAGTGGCAGTGGAGACAGGGAATCTCCTGATACCTCATAACATAGATCATGTCAATTCCACCATGGACCTTTGGGCTTCTGCCACTCATACTGGGGTTTCTCATGATCTGTCATTACTCGTGAAACTCCAAAATTTGGAGTCATCTGATCCTAGTAAACATACATCTGCCTTTTAACTGCCCTCCAGTCCCCAAATCTTAGACATGCATTTGGGGGAGAAATCAAAGCTTTGATGCACCTTTATGGTTTTGCAGACAAAACTGCGTATCTTCGATACATGTGCGTGAGGCTGCCGCTGCTTCGTGCCTTCCCCCTCTCTGTCCTCTGGTGCATCCCCAGCCTGCTCTGGGCCCTGTGCAGACTGCCAGGCCTTACCCACAGCCAGGAGGGACACGAGGAGGCAGGAATAAGCAGTGGGAAGCAATCATGAGGGCAGTTTTGAACTGGTGTATCTCATTCCCTGCAGGAGACTTGGTGGTCCTGGGGGGGTCCCTGGCCTCCAGCTGGCTCCAGGGCCGAAGCAGCTGGGGTTCCAAGGGCTTCTTCCCCTCATCATGTGTGCGGGAGCTGTGCCTTTCAGTCCGGAGCCGTCAGCTGTCCCAGACCGCTCTCCTGGAGGTGCCTGCCTACTCACTGGGCCAAGCCCGGGCCCTGATGGACCTGTCTGCTCAGCTGGAGGAGGAACTGGACTTCAGGGAAGGGGATGTGATCAACATTGTTGGTGTCTCTGAGCCTGGCTGGTTTGAAGGCGAACTCAGGGGCCGCAGGGGCATCTTCCCAGAGGGTTTTGTGGAACTGCTTACTCCTCTTCGAGCATCAGGAACCTCAGTGGATCCAGAGCCCACAGGGACCTGTGACACCAATGGAACAGTGGAGATGCCCCCCAAGGAGGAGGAGCCAGGGAGTACTTACGGTGTTGCCCTCTATCAATTCCAAGCCTTGGAGTCCAAGGAACTGGATTTTGAAGTGGGTGACAGGATTCGGATCATAGGCATTCTAGAGGATGGATGGCTGGAGGGGGAGCTGAGGGGGAAATGTGGCATCTTTCCACACAGATTTGTGAAGCTGGAAGCCTCTGAGTCTTGCAGGGAAAAGGCAGGTGCTGGGGATCCCCAAGGTGGGGGCAGCTGTGGAGTGACTATCCATCAAGACCCAGGAAGCACCTGCTCTGAAGCTCTTCCTTTGCCAGGGAAAGATGGAAGGGAAAAGGAGGGTGGCTCAGCTGAGTGTCTTGAGCCTGACACCATTTTGTCTCGCAAGGCAGGGGGGTCAGAGGGTCCTCTTGGCACTGACTTGAGACAGCATCAGACCTTTCCCAGCACAGGACACCAAGGGCCATGTCCCACAGACACAGCGGACTCCCTCCCCTTTGACCGCACAAAGACAGTCAATGGCTTTCTCCCCTCTGCTCAGCTGCCTCCCCAGCGGGGCAACAGGCCTGGCCAGGCAGGTGAGCTGGAGCCTGGGGGGACTGTTTCAGCCTCGCCAGGAAACTCAGAAACTCACACCCTACCAGAGCATGATGGAGACAGTCTCAATGTGCCTCCACAGTCTCCCTGCTCCTCCCCAGATCCTTGCAGGGGCCAGGCAATTTCTTCTAACAGCTGGGCAGCATCCGAGCCCCAGGAGAGCCAGAGCAGTGCCCAGGACCTGGATGGTTGGGTGGACAATCAACAGAAGTCCAAACCTTGTTCCACCAGCCTGGGAGGTGCCCAGGTGGGCCTGGACACATGGGCTGGGAGCTGGGGGGAATGCTGCCCACTCACAGCGCAGGGGGACGGCTGCACGGACCTTGATTCCAAACTGACAGAGCAGCTGGCACAGTTTGAGAAGAGTCTGTCAAGTACTGGCACTGAGCAGGACAAGGTCTCCCGCCACTTCTCTATCTTGGACTACAGCTCTGAGAAGGACATTGTCCGTGGGTCTCCTGAGTGTGCCCCCCACGCCAGGCAGCCAGAGAGGAGGAAGGCCCTGAGGCCACCCCCTCCTCGGCCCAGCAGCCTTGCCGCTAACCACGTGCACACACTGGGTGGCCAGATGCCCAAAGGCAGGTCTCTGTCCTTCTCAGTCAAGCCCTCCCGGCCTGCGCCCCGGCCTCCAGCAAGCAGCCAGCGGAAAAATGCGTTCCCTGCACAGCTTCAGCCCAGTGCCCTGGAGCAGCGTGTGGAGGAGAGACATGAAGACTTGACACCGGCAGGATCAGCTTCCCCCCGCTCCATTCTGCTGAAGAGGATTGGAGAGGTGGAGAGAGATCTGGAGGCTTACAGCAAGACCCGTGCTGAGCTAAGCCTGCTGCTGGAGGAGCAGCAGGATGAGCTGGTGCGAGTGGAGACCCTGGAAAACCTTGATTTCTGTGACTCCAACATCGAGAGCCTCAGCACAGAGCTTCAGGAGCTAAGAGGTGAGTCCGCAGTGGCATGGGATGGAGGTGCTTCAGGGGGACAGCTGGCCTCTGCTGCATACAGGCACTGTTGGAGCCAGTCTTTTATTTCCTTCTTTAATTCCCAGTTGTGGTCATTTTGTATGTTGCAGTACAGATCATCATGATTTTGCCTCAGAGAACCACAGTGTCATTCTCTGGACATCCCTGGCCTTCCCCACTCCCTTTACCTTCCAACTCTTCCATCTCCTCTTCCAGCCCCACCGTACATCCAGAGCCCTCATCGATCTGTTCCCAGTGTGCCCTTGCTCCCAAGGAAAGCCACAGCTGCTGCAGGTTCAACCTCCCTGCCTCATCCCCTCTTAGCTGTAGAGGAGTGAGCAGCAGCTTCAGAGTGGCTTTGCTGGTGGTCCTGCAGTTGAGATTTGAATTGATGTCTGTGGCGTGACTGCCCTCAGCTTGTCAGAGTGATAGGGTTCCTGTGGTTTCTGCTTTGGCAGGGATATAAACCTGCAGGGGCTTGTCCCTCAAATCAGAGGGGATGCACAGAAGGATGCTGAACCTGTCCCAGGAGTGGAGAGGATTAGCAGGCAAAAAGTAAAGCCTGCCCCATGTTTCTGCCATCCATGGAGTCCAGAATTTCAGGACAGAAAAATGATGCTCAAGTGTCAGTAACAGCAACAAAAAGATGCAAATTGCCACAGGTCTGTAGCAAAAAAAGTTGACTTTTCTCCTTGCAGCTTGGAAAAGTTACTTAGGGAGAAGAAATTTGCCGTTTATATCAGCACAAGATGCCATATAAAGATCATCGCTGTTAGTTACGTTATACTTGATATTACAGTAGACAAAGTGGAAAGACAGAATCATGTACCTCTCCCACAGTCTATTCCTCAGCTTCTCCAAGGAGTTCTGACACTGCAGTACTGTTAACGAAACCCACAATGTTCAGGAAATGTGGGCACTGCATGCTGGAGGTGGAGTGAAATGCCAGCTCCTGCCTGAGGATTACTCACTCTGACTTCATTGGCTCCATCCTCCCACTGCTTAATCAGTGCTGGGGAGGCCAGGCACTTTGCTGCAGGATCGTGCCTGATGCAGAGCACATGGGAATGAAGGCTGATAGGGGTGTGCCAGGGATACGGGGTGACAAACAGCCTCCACGTCAGCGGCGTGCGAGAGGGATGCTTGGGAGGAGGCTTAGAGGATTTGAGGCTAGATTGAATAACTTGAAGGTAGGAAGAGAAAAATCAAGGCTGGATCTCAAGGGAAATTTTCTGATGGGATGGATCTTGCTGGAAAATGTCTCCTACAGTTCCAGTGCTTCCTGACAGAGGACAGATCCTGCAGAACCTGTGCCCTGCTGATTACTGGAACTGGAAGTTTTAGGCAGGAACTAGCGCACCATCCTGAGACATCCTACGTATCAGGTTATCCCCTTGGTAGTCTAAGGGGATTTTTCACCTCTTCAAGAGACCTGAGGATTTAGAAGTAGCCTCTCTGATCCTATGATAAAGATGCACCCTACCCAAGCCTGTCGCTTCCCTCCTGCCACATCTGAGTGTGGCCAGAGAGCACGTCTCAGGCTCACTAGCCCAGCTGTAGTGCAGCGGGCTAGCTCAGTAGTGCGGAGTTGCATCCGCTCAGCAAAACGTGTTTGCACCATGCCTCAGGCATGGCCTCTGCCTTGCCACCGTTAGGGGCTCATGGAGGCGCACTGCAGGGAGAAAAGCTTTCCCTAAGCATTGACCAAAAAACAAATTAGGGCTGGCATCATCTTGGGAGACCCTAGTCCCTTGATGTGTCCTTTGGGAAGCCAAAGGAAGAGCAGAAAGTATGTGATTTTCTGAAATGCAGGTTTAAATCTGCAGGTTGCTTCTTTAGTACATCTTGCATGCACGCTGGGAGTTCACTAATCACCAGGCTTGGGCAGGATTAGTGCTTGCCCTCCTGCAGGTGGAGTAGGAGGGTCCATTCATTTTGGTTTTGTCTTCTACTAGCTGAGAGCATTGGCTGTGCATACCTAACAAGTGTTGCAAGAACCTGATGTGTGGATGGGCAGGTGGATGGATGACATTCACCAACTCTCCTGTTTTCTGTCTAGGGTGTGTTGTGGTCATCTTTTTTTTCCCATAGGAGCTCCTGTGTTTGGCATGGAAAAAAATGGGATTATTTTGTGGCCTGCAGTGAGAGGTGTTATTAGAGTGCATGTTTCTGTAGCCCCCTGGAAACGTGTATTATCTGTTGGCACTGGACTCTGTAACACAGGTAGTCTCTTCAATCCCATTCCTATCAGCAAGGGAACCAGCAGTTCACCCTGGAGCAGGGCACTGTGTAGGCACTGCTCGGGGGTGCTCTGCCACGCAGGTTGCTGCTCTTCTCCAGCTCCTCCCAGGACCTGTGGGTGAGGGTTGGAAAAAGGATGGGCTCAGCATCAGGTTTGAGTGAGGGGCAGCCTGAAGTTTTCCCCAGTGAAATGTGGAGCAGTCCAGCCGCTGCTAGATGCTGAGCCTCCATGCCGGCAGGAGGGTGAAGGCAGTGGCAGGAGATCTGGTATGCCGTCTCTGGTTTGTGGCTTCCCACGGTCTCACACAGTCTGTTTCCCTTCCCTGAGGACGTTGTTCTTAGAGCAGGGCCTCTGCATGCTCCAGTGCCCTCCTTTTCCCTGCCTCCGAGAGGCCTTCGGAGAGGCTTTGGCAAAGCTGCGGAGCCGGTTTGGGCGGTGAGAGCCTGCCCTGCCCCAGCCTCCCTCCTCGGGGCTGGTTACTGATTACTTTGGGCAGCAGGTGGAGGAGACCAGGGCTGGCAGTGATTGGGCCCGCGCCTCTCTGTACCCTTGCTGGCTGGTTTCAGGAAGCGACGCCTGCGTTTCACTTGGGACGGGAGCGCTGGAGCGGAGGAGCGGCGTCAGCCCGGGCTTGGACTCGGGGAGCAGGGAGTCAGCACCTGCACCGCACCCCAGCAGGACTATGTGCACGTATCCTGGGACGAAACACAGTGTGGGGGATCCGAGGCAAGGCCCGCGGTACCTCGGCTGGGAATGTGAGGACTGTTGTGCTGTGCGGAGAGGGGACGTGGCTGGCGTGGCCGTGCCGCACGGTGAGGCTCACTGCGATGACAGACCCAAGGAGAGGAGGCAGTCCCCAGGCTGCCAGGGAGCAGACAGCAGCTGGGACAGTTACAGGAGAGGGGAAGGCACCTCTGTGGACCGATGGAGCATGAATGGAGATTGTGGAGGTTTTTGGAAGAGAGATACCCAGTACACAGGCTGCAGGAGAGCAGATGGTGCTTGGGAAGGCAAAAGCAAGGATACAGAAGGTAGAAACTATAGGGTGTATGAGAGGGAGGGTGCGCCATACAGAGACTGCAGGTCTGAGATAAGAGAAGGGCGGTACAGAGAGGACAGAGTACCTCAGCAGTATAGGGAGGGGGGAAGGCAGCATGGAGAGCTTAGAGGTCCTGGAGACTACAGGGAGCGGGTAAGGTGGTATCAGGAGGACAGGTATCTTGGGGACTACAGTGAGGATGAAAGATGTTATGGGAAAAAGGAAAGGTGGTATAGGCAGGAAAGGGACTCTGGGGATTATAGGAAGGAGAGAAGGCCGCATAGAGAGGATGGAAGCTATCAAGTACGTAGGGAAGGGGAAAAATGGTATGGAGAGGATGGAGGCTCTGGGGCATATAGAGAGCAGGAGAGGCAGTATATAGGCAGCTGGTGTCAAGAAGACCTGGAGCAGCACAGGCAGCCCAAATCCTGTGTTGTGGACCACAACAATCTGGACAGAGATTGTGAAGCCTCTGCATTTGCAGACTGCTCATCAGAAGATGGTAGAGCGAGCCCGGGGTCAGGCACCTGCTACACACAGTCCAAGATGCAGGACATGGAATATGATGGCTGTGGGGAGCTGGAAGGAGAAGTCCCAGGTCCCCAAATGACAGCCAGGAGCAGTGGCCAAGCAGAGCGCTCGAGGGTACGCACGGGCCGGCCGGACTGGAGCCAGGTCTGGGAGCAGGAGGCTGAGGAAGAAAACAGGGTGGGCTCCATGCTGCAGCGAAACAGCTTCTACAGACGGACGGCTCCCAGTGCCCTGCGGCACTCAGAGTTTGTGCAGACCAGGAAGGAGAAGCGAGGTACGTGGGGAATTGCTGGGCAGTTGTCTGGCGTGTGCCTTCGCCCAGCCCTGGCACTTGGCAGCACCGGGACTCTGCCACAGGCGGGTGGTCAGCACAGACGGGCTCTCATGGGAAACCCTGGGGCTTGCTGAAATGGGCATCATCATCACCCCTCTGTACAGTCAGCTACATGTCCTGCAAGGGCTTTTGTCCCCATTTCATGAGGCCCAGGAGGGAGGAAAGCCCAGGTGGCACAAACACGTGGCTTACTGCTGTCCTTTTGATTGCTTCTCCATCTGTGGCCCAAGCATTTTGAGTACACCCTAAAACCTATGGTCCTGAGTTTTCTACTCTCTGCTCTCTCGGGGCCCTGAAGAGGTTTTCAATAGGGGAAGGGGCGAGGTATTTGGGTTACTCCCACTGCCTGTTTTACTTTCACAACACGTCATTAACAGATTCTGTGTATAGGAACCAGTTCCTGACCCTGTGGAGGGCGAGTATGGCAGCAGCTCGTGGGCAGCACAAAGCAGGAAATGGTGGAAGTTATTGTAGCACTCAGACATATGTGGAGGGCAAGTACTTGAAGTTGCCTGATTAGACATGAGGAGGACACCGGGGCACCTGCACGTCAGGAGGCTGCCGAAGGTGGGAATGGTGCCTCCTGCATCACCAGCCCCTCGGTGCCACAGTGGCCCCTTCCCTGTGCTGCAGCAGTTCAGTGTCCTGGATCCCCGAGCTGTCCCTGCATTTCCAGTCCCATCAACCACTCCCTGGAGTTGGAGAGATATCAAAGGTGGAGGGCTCAGGCTGTCTTGGCATGGGCAGAATTGTCCCGTTGTTGCTATGGCTGAGACAGAGTCAGCTGCAGACGGCTTTGTGGGGCTTGGTGCCTTGTTTCAAGAACTGGTGTGTGTTGAGGAAGGGGCAGCAAGGTGGTAGGGTCTGGGCAGAGGGACTAGAGGAGCCCTTCTTGGTGGACTGGCCTCCCTGTTGAGCAGCTGTGCGTCTGAAAACCTGTGTGCCCCTGCACTCCTTCTGCCAGCATCTGTCTCAAGTACCTGTGTGGGAACTCCCTGTGGAGGGGGATTAAGCTGCAGAGGATAACAGCACCGCTGCAGAGCTGGAGGCTGTGGCTGCCTGTCGGATTAAACGGCATGAAATCTGTCCTCTGGAGGCATTTGAAGCAGGCTCCACCGGCGCTCTCAGGCCACGCTGGTAGGGTGGGACTTTGCTCAGCTGCGTCCCCAGGGTGAGGGAAGGGAGAGGCCTTGCAGTGCCAGGACGTCCAAAGGGCAGCAGAGAAGCTAGGAGGAGGAGGAGGAGGAAGCAGGAGCAGAGCAGGGAGGCAAACAGCCCACAGAGCCTTGCAGGGAGGAGCAGTGCTGGCCTGGCCAGCGTCTGCCTGCGCTGCAGGGACAGACTGCAATGTCGAGCTGGAGCCATTGCTCCTCTGATGTTAGATTTGACTCTGTGCACACGCACACTTGAGCTGGGAAAGAATCTTGGTTTAGTTTCCCTGCTGTGACAGGCTCAGGAGCAGAGGAGTGGCTGTGGGAGGTCTGGAGCAGGATGCCCTCACCATCAGGGTTGTATCCCATAACAGGAAAGGGAAGAGGAAGGCTCCTAGTGTTTTATAACACTGTCCATCCCATGGCCCATTGCTGGCTGAAATTCCCTGTTGCTGTGCTGGGACACAGTCCTACACCAGGAACAGCCCTCCTTGGAGAATGTGTTTTGCTGTTACACCTGCCTCAATGTAGTTCCTGGCCAGCACCAGCACCTCTTTGCTGCCTCAGTGTAAGACCTCACCGGCATCTGGGAGCCTCCCCAGAAGTCCTTCCATCACGCTTGGCAGCAGGCACCTCCTGCCCAGCTGGTAGGAAAAAGTCAGCTCTGTTTTTTTCTGTCTGTGTATGCTCCAGGCACCTTTTCCTCTCCCAGGTTCCTCCTCTTGTACTCAGAGTAACAGAATTTAGGACTTGAAAGTCCTGGTAGAGATGACATGGCCTGATCATTTCCGTACATAGGGTTATTACACTTCTTACAGATTTCTCTGCAGTGCAGCCTGGTTGCAGCTATTTGGCCAGAGCATTTCTTCTGGCATGAGGTTCAGATGTGTCTGCTTGCCACATCAACAGGTGAACCCACCTGTCATAGCTTTGCTGCTTAGTCACCATCACTCTTACACGGGTTGCATGCTAATGTGTTGCATCTCAGCTCTGAACTCAAACATTTTTCTGCCAGGTTAGAGCTTTTTAACTGATGGTATTTTCTTCTCAGGCAGGTACTGTAATTAAGTAATTTTTCAGTCTTCAGTTCTTTGTAGTAAGTACTCTTAAAACACTCCTAACAAAGACTGACAGGAAGAGCG